CCATAAACACATGAAAATATATTTCTGGGTTCTGTTATATTCTGTGTCTTCATGCCAGTACCACACTGTCTTCATTATAGTAAAATTTTGAATTTTTTTTAAGATTTTATTTTTAACTAATCTCTACACCCAATGTGGGGCTCAAACCTACAATTTTGAGATCAATATTCACATTCCCTGTCAACTGAGCCAGCCAGGCACACCTGAAATTTTCTGTGTAGGTGTTCAAACTTTGTTCTTTTTGTAAAAATGGTTTTGGCTATTGTAGTTCCCTTGCTTTTCTGGAAAATTTTTAAAATCAAAAATTAAAAAAGTGTACTGGCATTTTGATAGGGATTACATTGAATCTGTAGATCAGTTCAAAGAGAATTGCCATCTTAACAGTATTGATTCTTTCAGTCCGTGAACATGCTCTATTTCTTTAGCTCTTCAAGCTCAGCAATGTTGTGTAGTTATCAATGTCTTACACATCTTCTGTTAAATTTGTTCTTAATTTTGTTATGTCATCGTTAATGAATTTTTATGGTTGATAATACATAAATACAGCTGATTTTTGGTTTTATGTATTTATCTTGTATCCTTACTTAAGGATACTTGCTGTTATTCTAGTTGTTATTGTTCTCAGTTCTAAGCTGTTTGCCTTTTCCATTTCTTCCCTTGTTGCCTTGGATAGTACAATTCCACATTAGAAGTTATAAAAGCAGGCATCCTTGTCTAGTTCCTGATCTTAGGGGGGAAAGTTTTCAGTCTTTCACCATTAAGTGTATTAGCTCTGGGTTTTTCATAGATGTTCTTTATCAGATTGAGCAAATATCCTTCTCTAATTTGCTGAGTTCTTATCATACATGGATATTGGATTTTGTCAAATGTGTATGTCTCCTGAGATGATCATATGATTCTTCTCCTTTATTCTGCTAATATGGTTATGTTATGTGATTTTCAGATGTTAAATCAACCTTTCATTCCTGGGATAAAATCTACTTGGTCAAATCCTTTATGTTGGTAAGTTTTTTCTTCTTTTTTTTTTTTTCTTTTTTAATGCCAGCTCATTTGATGTTAATTTATTTGTTAAATCCTTTCTCCATAGTGTCAGAAATACTCTAATACCAATTACTACAATTCCAAAATAGTGGCCTGAATTCAAATTTGCTTTGTGCCTATGCATTCTTTTGTATAGATTTTATTTTGTGTCTACCATGTGCCAGTCACCTAAAGATTACTTGATATGTAAATTGAATTTAGGCAGGGGTTACCATAGTATTTTATCATCCAAACAGGAAAATTTTTAATTTTATTTTTTATTTTTTTTTAAGATGTTATTTATTTATTTGACAGAGAGAGAGAGAGAGAGAGAGATCACAACTAGGCAGAGAAGCAGGCAGAGAGAGAGGAGGCAGAAGGCTCCCTATTAAGCAGAGAGCCTGATACGGGGCTCAATCCCAGGACCCTGGGATCATGACCTGAGCCAAAGGCAGAGGCTTAACCCACTGAGCCACCCAGGTGCCCCCAAATAGGAAAATTTTTAAAAGTCAAGGGGAAAATAAGTATAAATTAGAATATATGGTTACCTTAGATCTAACCAAAGGGGAAGAGTGAGGCAAATAAAAACATTTGTGAAAGAGGACTCAGTCTATTAAAATAACTAAAAATCTCCATTTAGTGAGTTTGTAAACTGTAAGGAAGAAATGGAGGCCAGAAGAGTATGGAGAAATCATATTCTAAAGGCCCTGTAAATCAGAAAGGACCTTGGACTTCATTCCAAGGACAATAAAAGTTCCAAGCAAAAATATGACATAATTGTTGGAAAAAGATTATGTTGATTGCAATGTAGTGAAAGTGTGAACAAAAAAAGAGTACCAGCAGAGATCATTTAGGGGGGGAAATGGAGAGTTCAGTATGGGTTTTTGTGATCACGAGATGTTCTTTGATTGTGTGACTGCATGACTATGACTATGAATATAAAGACCACTGAATTATTGTTTGGCATGTGAATTAGAGCTCGGTGAAGCAGGTTTTTTGTTTTTTTTTTAAAGATTTTTATTTATTTGAGAGAGAGAGAGAGAGAGAGGGAGAGAGATCACAAGTAGGCAGAGAGACAGGCAAAGAGAGAGGTGAAGCAGGCTCCCCGCCAAGCAGACAGCCTGATGTGGGACTCGATCCCAGGACCCTGAGATCATGACCTGAGCTGAAGGCAGAGGCCTAACCCACTGAGCCACCCAGGTGCCCCAGGTTTGTTTTTTTTTTAAAGGAGATTTAGGAAATTAAGTTCTTCAGGTGAGATGATAGGGCCTCTGTATTAATGTGTTAGAAATGAGGAGAGGTTCAAGAGATGTTTTAAGGGAAACTGTAAGGCCTTGTGACTCACAGGATACAGAGGTGAGAGGGAGGGAAAAGCCAAATTAACTTCCAAGATTCTGCTTAAGCTGGAGGATGGATGACAGTGCTGTTTACTAAGGGAACCTCAACCATACACATGAGAGCTGGGAGTGGGGAAAGATCTTAAGACATGCTGAATTTGAGCTAACATTGAGACATTTAAGTTGGATTATTTTTTCTGGACTGTGTCCCCTCCCCCCATTCCCCAAATTCATTTGCTGAAACTCTAAATCTCAACCTGATGGTATTGGAAAGTAATTAGGTCATGAGGATGGAGCCCTCATGATCTCCTTAGTATCCTTGTAAGAGGCCAGAGAGCGTGCTCAATCTTTTTCTGCCCTGTGAGGATACAAACAATCGGCAGCCTTTATGGCCCAGAAGAGGGTCTCACCAGACCCGGGCCATGCTGGCACCCTGATCTCAGACTTCCAGTTTCCGGAATTGTGAGAAATTCCTGTTCTTTATAAGTCACCTAGTCAATGGCACTTTGTTTTGTGACCAAGCTATTCCAAATGTGGCTCTCAGGTGAAGATCTAGGCCGGAGAAAATCAACTTAAGTCATTGAAGTAAACAGCATTGTTTAAGATACGTGAATATAAAGATCAAGATTTAAGAGCCGCTTAGAGGTGAAATCTACATCTGAGCAAAGGCCCCAGAGGTAAGGGAAAAAACCAGAGGGGTGTAACGTCACAAATCAAGTTTAGAGTCTTTCAAATGAAGTATTCAGCAGTTTAAAGTAGTAGTATGTGTCAGCAAACAAAGTGGAATCTGAACTTACGAAGTTTCAGTGGCATGATAATGGCAGAAACCAATCTCACATGGGTTCACTGGTAAATGGTGAGATGCAGTGTCAAAAGACAGTAACAGCAAGGAATTAGTTTTTGAAGGGGAAAAGAAAGAAGGGGGTTGAGGATGGAAAGATGTTTAAAAAAAAAGTTTGGTCCTATCTAAAGAAAGGAAAGGACCCATTTAGAGAAGTTGAAGATAGTGAAGGAACGCAATGGCTGTGTAAGACTCAGGGAGGATTACTTCAAGTTCAAGGTTTGGGTAGAGTCTGGGAGTATTTCAGTTCCTGTCAGGATGCTGGTGCACAAGCCAGTTTGGGAGCCACAGAGCAGACTTTGTAAGGAGCTTGGAAAGGATGTTGTCTCTAGTACAGACCTGGATTCTTTTCTTTTCTTTTGGAGTCTGAGGAAGAACTTGTAGTGGGGGCAGGTACAGACAGATTAGGTGATGCAGCTCAGGAGGTTTTCCATTTTTTCCTGTGAACTAATCTGCTTGTAGAGTTGGGGGAAGGTGAAGATTTTGTAAGACTGGAGGTTTCACATTGCCTTGAATAATGGGTGTCTTGCTCCTGTTGAGGACCTTTGAGGATGGGGACCACCAATCCTGTAGTGGCGCCAGCCTGTGCCCCCATGTGGTGTTCTGTGGCCATGCTCAGCAGCCCAACACAGTCAGAGGCAGACTGAGCGGAATTCAGCTGAGATTTGGGTTTGGCCACACAGTTATAAAATAATGACAGTAAAACAAAGGAGTCTAGGATCTTGCCAAGAAAGTGGCAGAAGTAGTAAGAGGACGGATCTAAGCTGGATGGAGAGCTAAGTGAAGAAAGAAGATGACTTTTAGTGGAACTCCTAATGAGAATAAAAAAAATTGGTATATTTTGGGTTTGACTATTTCAAACATAAGGCCGTTATAGGACCAGCTTTTGTTCATTTTTATCACCAACAATGCTACACTGTGGGGGGGGTGGAACTGTATGTAAGAAAATTCCTACTCTCAGAAACATGGATCATTTTATAGCAGAGAGTGCCAGTAGAATGATTGGCACAATCAACACATCAAGGTGAAAGGCACTAAAGATGTGTGAGAAGGGACTCTATTCAGCACAGGGTAAGAGGTGGATTATCAGGGAAGCATTCATATAAAAACTCCCCCAAGTAGGTCTTAAATACAGAAAGACAGCTACAAGCAGAATAGGAACGAAAAGACTATTGTGAGTAGACCAGTAGCACAGGCAAAGGCAGCAGAGTATAGGAAAAGCCTGATTAGGAGTTAAGGTTTATGGAAAAATAATGTAAGATAAGGCTGTGAAAATAATTTAAACTCAAATTACAGAGAGCCTTAAATGTGCTCATGAATTGGGGACTTTATTCAGTAGGCAGTGAGAGGCAGTTTGTGAACATGACTGAGATGTGCTGTAGGAAGACTGGCCATCCAGAAGGAAATCCTTATTGCAATCCTTATTTAAGGCCTCACTCAACGGCTCTCAACGGGACTGCACAAAAGAATCATCTTGAGTGAGTGCTTTGAAAGCTACCTGATGGGTCTACCCACCAGAAATTGTGGTCCCTTTCAGGTCGGGGGAGGCTCAGGCATTTAAAAGTACTCCAGAGGATCCTAATCCGACCAGGGTTGAAAGGCATGGTCTCTTCTGTGTAGTTTATGTTGATACAGTAAGGCCCAAATCAGACAGTAATAAGGGAAAGCAGGATGGATGGGTGGATGGGTATGTTAAATTCTGGGGGGGGGGGGGGGAACACCTGTAACAAGCTAAACTGACCCAGCAAAATTAAAACTAAAAGCACACCATTATACCATTCCCATCACAAAAGAAAAACAGATATCGAATATATACAATTTATTTAATAAATTAATGTCATTCAAAATACAGTGCCAGAACATGATGCAGTTGAACATGCTAGTAAGGTTTGTCATGAAGCACCTGTGCTCACGTTAGACTGGCGGCGCCCCGCTACTGCTAGTGGTTCCTGGGATTAATGCCAGAGCAGCACTAGTTACCTGCTCATCTGCACGGCTAGTGCAGAGAATTCCTGAACAGTTCACCTTTCTACTCCTACCCCCCCACACACGCACACAACGGGTTAAAAAAAACCACACGCACACCCTGACAGCTAATGGGTAACTATACACAGTCACTCTACAGTAATGCTTGTTATTAAATTAGGATGTAATGACCTGGTTAACCCACTCTAAATCTTTAAGATGGAGAAATACAACAGCAGCAGGTAGTTATATGCATGAGCCAATGTTAATGTAATCAAGTGGAGGCATTTACTGATTAAAGCTCCACACAGACCCGCACAACGAGGGACTAGCAATTCTTAGTGCAAGCCCAGCAACTTAAGTCCACACCTGGTAAATGACCAGCTAACTGGAAGACCTGTATTCTAGATAGACAAGTATAAGTTAGTGAAGAGAGAATACATGCACCTAATAGTATAGTTAGACTGATCCTGCAGTCATAGCTTTCCCTGTGCAATACCATAAAATGGAAGATCTTCCTCAACTATAGTACAGGATTTTGACAACATTTCTGTACCAACATGGACACTAGTGTCAAGCGCAGCGGAATTAATTACACTGAAAAAAAAAGTATTCTAGGACTTTAGAACAGAAGCATGGGAATGAAATACATATACTAAAATAACCTCGGCACAATTTGTGATATACCACACTAGGAACAGGAAACTACTTTAATAAGTGAACTTTTTGAACTGTACATAACACAGGGCTAACAATGTTATTAGATAATCCAGATTCTTATGCTCTCATGATACACGTAGAAGTTTCTCAATTATTGGATAATCTATTTCATATTACGGAAGCATATCTTTCTGTAAGACTCACGGATATATATTATACTGATGCAAATATTAAGTAGGGCATAAAAATAAAATTTATCAAAGATAGACTTTTATGTACTCATATTTAGTCCTTTCATAGCCTCTCCTGTTTAGCAAAGAAAATGACAAAGCACAGACATCAGGCGTGCACTCCCTCAACTCGCCGGCTATACAGGTGGTAGTGCAACCATTTCTCCATCCAGTTCAAACTCCTCGGTCCCATCCGGTGAAAAAAGGTAAGTTGGTGGTTTCCATGGAGATTCTTCAAGGCAGGATGGATACAGTTTCCCCACAGTGCACCGAAAATCTCTCCCTAAGTCCCACAGTACACGCTCAGATATATGCTGCCGCAGAGACCACCGGTCAAGTTCCAGATCATACTGGTAGGTGACATACTTAGCTCTCTCGTTTAAGTGGGTTTCTCGCATAAACACACAGAGAGAATTTGAGATCACAACAGCTCTAACACAGGGGTCTGAGTACCTCTTAGCAGGGATGTTGGCTGCCATTTTCCACTCATTTTTGTTCACATCGTAAATCTCCACAGTTACTGAAGACCCATCTACAGTGCCAGAGGGGAGCCTTATGCCAGAATTGGTAGCAATGTGCAACCCTCCAATATAGAAAATTTTATCACCAAAAGCCGCAGCCGAAGCAAAAGACCTGCTAGTCTGTCTCATGGCCATTTCTACCCATGAATCAGACCTGGGAAAGTAACAGTACATGAGGTTCAGCGTCATCACATAAATGCAGTCGTGAACCACAACTGCCGCACTCCACTGCCACGCACAAGGCAGAGGGCTTACCATTGTCCACTCATCCTTCTCAGTATCGTATCTTTCCACGGTCCTCCGATTGAGTTCTCCACCTACACTGTCTCCTCCAATTGCATAGATATAGCCTTCACAGCAAACCAGAGATGGCTTTATACGGACAAAAAGCATCGGGGTCTTTGGAAACCAGGTATTTTGCTGTGCATCAAACCAATAAAAGCAATTCACAGTTCTGAAGGCAGTCTGAAGTTTGCTTGTTTTACTGTGATTTGTTTTTGTGTTTTTCAGAGGAACTTGACCCCCTGCTATATAGATGTCATTATCAGGAGTTACAACAGTCCCAACCTTATGCAAATCGGCTGGTGGGCTACACAGCTTGTAAACTTTTTCTGCTTGGGGGCTGTAACAGACAGAAGAGTAAAGACTACAAGGATTTTCTGAAGATGCTTCAATGAAAATCATCATCTCCTCTTTAGTCATTCCAAGTCTTGGTTTGAAAAACTTGGGCATAGACTTATACAGACCTTGAACCACTACAGACTTGTCATTGGGCGGCAGGCCTTGAAACCAAGCTCTCTGTGTTACTTCGGAAAGTGCATCAATTCTGATTTGGCTAAGAACTGAAGACAAATACTGGGATCGTGATTCTGTGTTGTACTCTAGCCACAGCATAGCAGCTTCGCGAACCGTCTCCTCCTTTTCAACATTTAAATTGTCACTACTGAGGATGTCTATCAGTAGGTCATGTGACAGCTGCATGAACGCTTCCTGGTGATACACAGCAGTGAACTTGTGCTCCACCATTCTTTTAGCACTTTGTTTTAATTCCTCACAACTGAACAGATCAGCAAAACTCAACAATCGCACGCAATTCTCTGCATTTATTTTTTTAATTAAGTATTCTCGACAACGCTGTAATACATCTTCTACCTAAAATGGGGGGGTGATAAAGACAAATTTTACTTTTATGTAAAATGCAAGTTTTCTTTTAAATCCAAGTATTATTAATCAAATTCCTATACTGCAGTTTCTATTTTTAGATATGTATGCTTGGGCAAAGAGATAATGCCTTCCAGTAATAATAAAATAGTTTTGCATTTCTACTACTTGTCCAGTGGCCTACTTAAGTATCCTATTTAGGAGCTAACAGTGTAACATTAAAAATAGGCTCTTAACAATAAATGGTCTTAAAGGAAAAGTATGGAAATGTATGCATAAGTTCTGTACTTTTCTAGGCTTTAAAAATATGTAATTAAAAAAACCAAATGGAAACAATGTAAATCACAGTACATAAATTTATAATGATAAATGATAATCATTTATTATAAATGATTACTGTTGAGTAGAATCTGGTTTCCTCAACATGAACAAGACAGTACCATAGAACAAGAAAACCAGGCACAATGACTAAGTACTTATTTGCCTTTCTTACCTAGAAAAATTATGTCACCAAAGGAATAAATACATTAATATGCCGTTATAAATTATATTTAAATAACCCACCTTAGCCGTTCTGTTTCCTAGATTTGTTTTTTTTTCTTAAGAAGGAAAGTAGATCTCAGCTGAAACAGGAATGCTACCTACTCTACTTAAAATACCACAGCAAGGTAACTAGAAATAGTTTACAGTGAGAAGTCAGGGTGCTTAGACTGTATGGTCAGTACTTAGGCAGTATTAGGCAGGTTTACTCCTCTAAGCCTCAGCTTTCTCCAGTATACAATGGGGAGATCCTTACCAATGATTATAATAAGGATTAGATGATATCTATATATCTGTAGATAAAGCACAACCTCTAACCTAGATAGAACATTAGAATAGTAGCAGGCATATAAAAACATTATCATTCTCTGTGGTTAATATGGAAAGTCATGTTGGTAGTTACCAAAAGCCTCTTGTCAGAGGACAGCCCAGTCCAAGAGAGTCCTGTGTTACATTTGGTAACTATGTGCATATAGAGTTCATTAACGTGGTAGGAAAAAAGTTGTAAGGAACAGTGTCACTATTTACAGTAATAAAGTACCCTGGAACCCAAATTTCCTAAAATTCCTCAACTTTTTTTTTTAGCAATTCTAAAAAATACCTTATTTCAGCGTCTGGTTCTAAAAAAGGTTACTGAAAAACTATGGAAAGACCGTGCAGACTGTACGCATTTGCTCCTTTCAGGTCTGGAAGTGGGTTATGAATGCCTTTAATTCTAAAGCACCAGGAAGCTACTATGGACTTCAATTTCCCGAGTTTTAAGTACAGCAGGACACTATAAAACATGGACTGGGGGCACCTGGGTGGCTCAGTGGGTTGAAGCCTCTGCCTTCGGCTCGGGTCATGATCCCAGGGTCCTGGGATCGAGCCCCGTGTTGGGCTCTCTGCTCAGTGGGGAGCCTGCTTCCTCCTCTCTCTCTGCCTGCCTCTCTGCCTACTTGTGATCTGTCAAATAAATAAATAAAAATCTTTAAAAAAAAAAAAAAACATGGACTGAGTTCTGGTTCCCAGAATTTCATTCAGTGTCATTCATACTCAATGCAGCACACATTATGAAGTACCTATTAGGTATCATGACCTGTTCTCCCCAAAAACAATCTTTAGGGTCAAGGTTCTCCCCTCAGAGAAACTGTTTCTGAAGTACAAACTGTTCTTTCAAAACAAGAGAAAGGAATGAAGAATATATTTTTTAAAATTCCTCTTAAATGTTTTTTAAATGTTGAGAGGAAAATAGAGTAAAATAGTTCATCTGTAAATGGATCAATGATCACTTTTTTAAATAGTTCTCCTTAATAGCACAAATATAGTCACATGGCTATTAAAAATAAAGTCTGATAATTTCCATAAGAATCTTCATATTTGGGGCGCCTGGGTGGCTCAGTGGGTTAAGCCTCTGCCTTCGGCTCAGGTCATGGTCTCAGGGTCCTGGAATCGAGCCCCACATCGGGCTCTCTGCTCAGCAGGGAGCCTGCTTCCCTTCCTCTCTCTCTCTGCCTGCCTCTCTGCCTGCTTGTGATCTCTGTCAAATAAATAAATAAAATCTTAAAAAAAAAAAAAAAATCTTCTGATTTGGGGCACCTGAGTGGCTCAGTCGGTTAAGCCTCTGCCTTAGGCTCAGGTCATATCTGGGGATCCTGGATCAAGCCCCACGTCAGGCTCTCTGCTCAGCAGGGAGCCTGCTTCCTCCTGTCTGTCTGCCTGCCTCTCTGCCTCCTTGTAATCTCTGTCAAATAAATAAATAAAACCTTTTTAAAAAAATTCAGATTTTCTGTGAAAAGTAATACCATCAAAAATTAATACATCTCTGGCTTTAGGAAAAAAAAATTGAAGCCCTTACAGTTTTGTTTTGGGTTTTTTTTAAAAGATTTTATTTATTTATTTGGCAGACAAAGATCACAAGTAGGCAGAGAGGCAAGCAGAGAGAGAGAGGGAAGCAGACTCCCTGCTGAGCAGAGAGCCCAATGAGCCCCTGAAGCGCTTAAATTTAATAAGTACATTTTAGTAAGTACTTTTAAAAATTATTGTTACTTGAGGGGCGCCTGGGTGGCTCAGTGAGTTAAAGCCTCTGCCTTCGGCTCAGGTCATGATCTCAGGATCCTGGGCTCGAGCCCCGCATCGGGCTCTCTGCTCAGCAGGGAGCCTGCTTCCCTTCCTCTCTCTCTGCCTGCCTCTCTGCCTACTTGTGATCTCTGTCAAATAAATAAATCCTAAAAAAAAATTTTTTTTTAATTTTTACTTGAAACCCATATTCTCAGGTATATTAGAGTGTGAAACCAGTATGAAATTTTCACCCATCTTTTAATTAAGTTCCCATCATAAAACTAAAGAAGTTTACTGGCTGATCAAATCCTATTGTTTTTCCCTTATACATTATTTTAAAATTTATTTATTTAAGGAATCTTTACACCAATATGGGGCCCAAACCCAGGACCCTGACATCAAGAGCTGCCCGTGTTTCCAACTGAGCCAGCCAGGCGCCCTCCCTTGTACATTTTAAAAAGAGAAAACCGGAGCGCCTGGGTGGCTCAGGGGGTTAAGCCTCTGCCTTCGGCTCAGGTCATGATCTCAGGGTCCTGGGATCGAGCCCCGCATCGGGCTCTCTGCTCAGCAAGGAGCCTGCTTCCTTCTCTCTCTGCCTGCCTCTCTGCCTACTTGTGATCTTCCTCTGTCGAATAAATAAAATCTTTAAAAATAAATAAATAAATAAAAAATAAAAAGAGAAAACCTACCTTCTAAAATCTGCAGTAAGAAAATTATATCAATGTAACACAACACTTATGAAACAATGTCTCTTGAATACATAAACTACAGTTTATGTATATAACAGGAAGACCTACTTACCTGCAGGAAGCAAGCGGTTTCATAAAGCTGTTCTACAGTGCTGTCATTTATTGCCAAGTTACCCGTGTATGCGTAAGCGATTATTATCTGTAAGGTGGCTGCATCCACATTCCTCAGGTGCACATGTGTCTGTTTGCTTTCACTGAGTCCACTCATGAACATGGCCCTACCAGAGAGAGAGAGAGAAAACAAAGCTTAAGGGTTTAAGGTAAAACCAACATAGACATAAAAAGGAAACGAGACAACACAGATGTTTATTTAGAGTATTTGCTGAAGAACATGTTCTAGGGAAAGTGTTGAGGGAGACAGCAAAAAAAAGCATAATTCAGTGCCAAAGATGTATCAGACTATTCTGTTATGCCATTCTGAGTGAAAACATCAAAATTCATTTACTCTTTATATTCATACAATGGAATACTATTCAGCAATAAAAAGGAACTAAGTGTTGATGCGTATTACAACATAGATGAACCTCCAACACATGCTCAAAGAAAGAAGCCAAACACAAAAGACCACATCTTGTAGGATTCCATTTATATGAAATAGCCCCCCCAAAAACAAATATAGAGACAGGAGAGAGATTAGAAGCTACCCAGGACTGTGGGTAAGAATGGTGGCTGACTGTAAGGGGGCACAAAGGTGAGTGAAATGTTTCAAATTAGATGATAGAGATGGTTCTGCATGTCTGTAAATATATTAAAATTCATTTAAAATGGGTGGGTTTTGTGATATGTAAATTATAACTCAATAAATCTGTTAAAAATGTCATTCGCTCAAATGATTCCCTAAAAATATACATGGTAGTTTCCTAAAAGTATTATACACAGGAAACTACACCAAAAAGGGACCTGGTGGTGTAGAGAAAAGGTAGAACACCCACTGGGGCGCCTGGGTGGCTCCGTGGGTTAAAGCCTCTGCCTTTGGCTCAGGTCATGATCCCAGCGTCCTGGGATCAACCCCCGCATTGGGCTCTCTGCTCAGCAGGGAGCCTGCTTCCTCCTCTCTCTACGTGCCTCTCCGCCTACTTGTGATCTCTGCCTGTCAAATAAATAAATAAAATCTTAAAAAAAAAAAACACCCACTACAGGTGAGAGATGAAAAGAACAATGCGAAGAATATTACTGCATGCATACAAGAGAAAAATCTGTATGTGATCAAAAGTGGGTATCACAATAGCCCTAGCTTAGGCTCCTCAACGACAAGATGAGGAAAGCCATCAACATGGATAAACTAGTGAATCACCGCAGAACATGACCGTTTTTTCCAGGGATGTAAGAGCTCATGCAGAAGACTGGAAAGCAAGCTGGGAAGATGAGTGGCAGTCAGGTCACAGGGCTTTTAAAAAGAGACGGAGGCGTCTGAGCTTTTCCTTACAGTGGAGAACACTGAAGGGTTTCATGCCTGGATTTATCAGCAGGATAAAATGTATTCTAAGGACTACTACTCTACTGACCTCAAGGGCCAAAGGCTGGAGACAGGAAAACAGACTGTGAGTCTACTGCAATAATCTACAACAGGAATAAGAAGAACCTGCCCCAGGGTGGCAGAAATGGATACAAAAGCTATCACAATGAATCAAGATCCAGTGATTTTTCTGAACAGAGGAAATGAACAGAGTAGAGAGGGAAATAAAGCTATGTGTTTATTTTCCAATTAAGTGCCTGAAAAAATACTGCTAGTCATTGAGAGAAAAATTTTAAGGTCAAGGAATTGCAAGGTCAAGTTAATCCTGGGAAAAGGGGGAGTTAAATTTTGGATACCTTTAAGGTAAGGAAATAATCAACAATCAGTTAAGTATTTAAATATTACTGAAACTCTGGAGAAGGTCAAGCATTAATGCAACAGGCTATGAATTATTTATTTACAAAGTGACATGTGTTAAAGGTGAGTAAGTTATCTGAGGGGGACTAAAACACTCAAAAATGCACCCCAAGAATCCCAATGACCAACCTGAGGTAAAGTTCAATGAGGATAAAAAAGAAAGAATGAGAAAAGGTTGTCCTTATTCCTCATTCTAAGCTACACCAGTGACTACCTAACTGCTTTTGTGGTGTGTGTTGCCCTTGATTCCAGTTTTCTGACACCCCAGCTCTCTTGTCCTAAGCAGCATGGTACTGGACTGTTGCTTCTTACTTCTCTGATGAATCTTTCTTAATTTTAGCTCAGATCATGGTCCTGGGATCGAGCCCTGCATTGGGCTCCACACTCAGCAGGGAGTCTGCTGGAGATTCTCTCTGCTCCTCTCACCCCGCCCCAGTGCTTGTTTTCACTCTCTCTCAAAAATCTTCAAAAGGGGAGAGCTAATAAGCCTAGGTATTGACTCAATCTATAACCTCCAATTTCTAGTACCATGTAACTAAGCTATTGGCTTAGTTACATGGTACTAGAAATTGGAGGAAGAAGAAGAAACTATCACAATCATTTAGGAAGCTCTTAAGCATAAAAAATTCTGAAATTTTAACCCAGACCCACTAAATCAGAATTTCTAGGTTTGAAATCCAAGAATCTCTGTAGAAGCACTTGAGGAGTCTGATGATCAACCAAGTTTTAGAACCACTGTTTGCAAATATGCTAAGCTTTCTAAGAAAATCAGTGTCTGAAATTGCATGAAAACTCCACAGTTTAACCTGAAACAACTGCAGGCACAGCAAAGGTAATTAGCATTTGGGCCTCAGCTTCTGCAATCATGAGATACGTTACATTAAGAAATGCAGCATTTCTACACCTTCATGTATGTTAACCTTAAAAAATCAAATCCTGTCTACAGTTGTCACTAAAGAACAGCAGAAATTAACTTTCACTGCTGATCTCCACTTTATGGCCACTAATATCTGTGAAAGGATTATACTGGTCCACATTTAACTCATCTTTATTCACCCTGTCCCTTTCAGATATTAAAAAAAATTCAACCTAAGGGCAGACCACAAAAGAATTTCTATGCCTTTGCTTCTATTCCTCTCATAAAACACATAATAAAGAGAAACCTACCTAAAAAAGATTAAAAGTTTCAGAAGATCATAAAAATGTAAAGTTATGCTTTACTTACTTATTTGCTATTACAAATAATCAGCTTCTAAATTCTAAGGCACAGAGAACAATGTTATTAATTACTAACTATTTAAATCTGGCAAGGAGTCTGGTAAGGCCAATATCATAAATGATAACAATAACCAAGAATGAAAAAAACATTTTTCCTAAGGAAATAAAGTCCTTAACATATCTGAATAGCAACACTGATCCTCTAAAAGTTATTCTCAAGCCTACTTATATCAACAATGACTACTCTTTTCTAAATGTAGTATTTTAAAATCTCAATGGTAAATAAAAATTATTCAATTTTTCTTTCTCTTTCAATCTTTTTGCCTCCCCATAATTAAAACTTCACCTGAGTTAATTTCAACAAATTTCTTACATTTAAACCTTTGTAAAAACTTCTTTCACTTGTCTTTTCCATGCAAGGAAGTGATCTGGCAAGCACTACACCACTGGGATAGAAAAGTTAAGTAAAACATTAAGACATCTTTTCTTTTTAACTTAAACGTTTAAAAGAATTCCTCCTAAAACATTAAAATAAGCTGACATTCTACATTTGAAATTAAAAACCAAGTAAGATTAAAGTACTTACCTAAAATAAGAGCTACATGTTGCAAGAACCATCTTATGACAAGGGAATTCAGTGCCCTCAACAATTAACACTATGTCAGTAAACAACTGCTGTTCATAAAACAGTTTTAACTGTTCCAACAAGGACACAGCATATTCAGTATTGATCTGCCTCTCGTCTTGAGTGGACATGACTGTATTCCATTAATATCTCCTGGAACAGATTGGAAAAGTCAGTCACTGATGGAAGGTCAAGTGAATGCTTCAGAAATAAAAAAAGGAGAAACTCTGCTTGCTGTTATCTGCAGCATTCAGAATCAAGACTGACACATTCACTAGTGAGTATCTTGTTATACACTTAGAATCACTCCTAGGTCATCCTGTGTTAATTAGGTTCTTCAGTTCTTCAACACAGTCTGCAGCCGTCTTGCTCAAATTTGCAATTGTGCAGCTCATGAGTTAAAGAGAGTAACACACGAGGTAGATTTTGCAGTAACATCCTATGTTCTGCGAATCCTCTGGAGTAACTAAAAAAAAAAAAAAAAAAAAAAAAAGGTCAGAGTATCCAGGCCAGTACATTTTTAGGATACAGTGCTTAAAAGGCAGATTTATATAGAAATTGTATTTATTTGAAGTTCAACTACAGACACTAAAATGAACCATGAGAAAAGGGCCATTTTAAAGTCTATTAGATTTAAAATAAAAAAGACTGAAGAAAATTAACATTTACAGTTTTAAATGAACTTTTTGTCTTTTCTTCAAAATATAAACATTCTAGAAAATAAGGAGCACATCAATAAGCACATATTTTTTAATTATTTTAAAATAAAGAATTTAAATTACCAGCAAAGCCAAATCTCGTAGTTGTTTAGTGGCAATACAGGACCATAATTTATGAGGAAAAAAACACACACACCCAAAAAAACAACAACAACCCTTTCTCTTATATGGAGAACCTTATTTTCAGGATATAGTCTAAATGTACTTACAAAGGTTTTATACTTAATTTAAATTACTTAAACTATATGGTAAGTAGATTCCATTAGTTTACTTCCAAAGTATACACTATGTTTTTTATATGTGTAGTTCAGTCCAGTAAGGGAAGTATATGCAATGTATCTTTGCACAGTGGTTCCATCCTAGAAATCTTTTTGAGTATACAATTTTACTGGGGAAAAAAACTTTTTTAAACTAAACATGATAGAGAGACATGTGTTACTATATGAAGACTCCATATTATACAAATATGAACGCTCTCCAAAATGTGTAACTTTAAGACAAATCCAATCTAAATCCTATCTGCAAAAGATTCGTCTAAAAGAATGCACAGAAGTTGCCAAGATATTTGAGGGAAAGGGAGGGCAAGTTTTTCCTCATGATTCTTATCAAATATTAAAATATATTACAAAATATATATATATATTACAAATCTACAATAAGCCCAAGTAAATATAAGAAATTAGACAGACTAAACTCTAGCATTTTAAAATGAAAGATTGCCTTATTTCAACAAATAATGTTGGAACAACTCACTAACCACCTGAGAGGAAAAAATGTTATATTGCAAAGCATTCATTAAAAGAAATTCCAGCTGAAATAAAATTTAAATTATTTGGAAATCAGTAATTACAACATATGGCAAAGGAGTTACAAATCAGGAAAAGAGGTAAAACCCATAAAGAATTAATAAATAGCTAAAAACTATCACTTCTTCTCTAATTAGATAACTCTTAGTTCCCATAATCAAAAAATCAAGTACCACTCACAGGAAACCTATAAATATTACCGTGATTGGAACCACTAACACTTTTTCTCACAAAGTATCTCCCATATGTCAAAAAGATCACATTGTACTTCCTGCCCAACTATACTATTACACAAATTGCTAACTTGATATACACTTGTCAAATTTCCAGCCAACTTAATTCTAAACGTAACTAAAACAGGTGCAAAGGCAGAGTGAGACTTTGGGTCATTTAAGGTAATGACTTTGCTCTTCCAGATCTCGAAGTTACACTATAAATCTCATCTACTACTACAACCTCTAAGGCTAATAATACCTAAAATCATGGGCTATTTTCACTTATCAATGATGCAAAATCCAGTGTTAGTAACGGTGTGGGACAATGAGTATTCTTACACAGGAGTGTAAGCCAATTCATACCTACATGCCCTTATTCAAAACCCTTAGAGCTAGATATGTTCTGGAATTTAGAATTTTTCAGGTTTTACAGAGGTAATATGGTATATATATCATGTATTTCAGGACGTTCTCAAGAAATCTGGTGCAGCACTCCATAACTGAACATATTACGATCTTTTCTGTGAGAAATACGAACAGTGTGAAAACAATACTAGAAATAGCCTCATGTTACTTCAGGTTGAGTTTTGTCAGTTTTCTCTTCAAACTTGATTTTAAGAGCTTTCTGAATTTCAGAACTGCAAGTGAATGACTACAGAAAGCAGAGTATCTGGCAATGTAAATGTTCAGTATCTCAATCTATCAATTCTACCTCTAGAAATTTATCTTACAGAAATGCATGCATTGATAAACTGGGAAGTCCTAACCCTAGCTGCAAGACCCAAAATTGTCCTCATCCATATTTACCCCAGGTGAGAAGAACTGGTAGCCAGGGCCCAGATGGATTTGGATCACACTGCTAGACCCCAGAATTCCTTGCAGATTAGCTGAACAGCCTCTCCCTCTGGTCATTTCTTAAAATCTTTTTTTTTTTTTTTAAGATTTTATTTATTTATTTGTCAAAGAGAGAGAGAGCATGAGCACAGGCAGACAGAGTGGTAGGCAGAGGCAGAGGGAGAAGCAGGCTCCCCGCTGATCAAGGAGCCCGATGCGGGACTCGATCCCAGGACGCCGGGATCATGACCTGAGCCGAAGGCAGCCGCCCAACCAACTGAGCCACCCAGGTGTCCCAAATCTTTTTTTTTTTTTTTTTAAAGATTTTATTTATTTCTTTGACAGAGACAGATCAGAAGTAGGCAGAGAGGAAGGCAGAGAAAGGAGGAAGCAGGTTCCCCGCCGAGCAGAGACCCCCGATGCAGGACTCGATCCCAGGACCCTGAGATCACAACCCGAGCCGAAGGCAGAGGCTTTAACCCACCGAGCCACCCAGGCGCCCTGGTCATTTCTTTAACTTCATAACATGACCTGATTTTTTGTAGGGACTTGATTTCTTGCTGTGACTCTTTCAGGGCTCATTTGTTATGTCTGGGTTTTACTAGATCTGAGTTTTTAAAATCATACTCAGGAAACCATACTGAAACAAGTGAAGTCTGCTTTTATAAAATTACAGTGAGCCAACTTTATGTAATCCTCATTATGACTGCTTTATGCACCCTTATTTCCCAGGCCTTTGTAATCTAAGGTTCACTTTCTTCCTGATAAGGTAATTTTTATTTACAATATCTTAATACTAAAATAGGCAGAGGGGCACCTGAGTGGCTTAGTCATTAAGCGGCTGCCTTCGGCTCAGATCATGATCCCAGAGTCCTGGGAAAGAGCCCCACTCAGGCTCTCTGCTGAGTGGGAAGCCTGCTTCTCCCTCTCAAGTCCCCCTGCTTGTGTTCCCTCTCTCGTGGTCTCTCTGTCAAATAAATAAAATCTTTAAAAAAAATAAAATAAAATAAAATAAAGGAGGCAGAAAAGGTAAGTAATTTAGAAATCAAGTAATTAAGTTTAATAATTTAAACAGATCTGTATCTAGTACAATTCAAAATAAAGCTGTCACTTTTGAGACTACAGACTTCAAAATATATTAACTAAAAACGTGAAAAGGTGCAAAGTTTAAAATCATCAACTAACAACCCTCAAATGTCCATAACATAACCATTTACTCTAACAAGATTCCTCCTCTCCCAAAAACAAAACTTGAAATCAATATCCTAAAAATATTTTATAGTCTGTACTATATTATCAGTGATTTGACATATTTTATGAATTTTCCCTTTTTAATAAATGTATTATGTCACATACCATTCTGTCATACCTAAAATTAGCTTCAAAATAAGTCACACATCCTGTTATCTGCAGAAGTTAGCACCCACAGACTAATTCCCAGGAATCAAGAAATTATTTAATTTTTTATCACAAATTAATGGCTGCTTAAGTTTAACTCAACAAATGTTTACTGAGTATTCATTAAGTGCTGGTCATTGTACTGTTAAGTACTCAGACTGAGAGTTGCCAACCACTAGAGCCCCAAAACACCATATGCATTTATTCTTACTACAGACTATAGCCCAAACCATGATTATCATTTAAAAAGTTTTAAAACTAGCTATTCTAAACAAAAGCTAAAAAGGCAGCAGCAAATAGGTGAAACAAGTCATGTAAAGTTTTTTTTAAGAAAGTAAGGAATTTTAAGAACTAAAAAGTGCAAAATATAGAGGAAAAGATAAAACTAAATAACGTTTTTCTTAAAATCTATCGATCTTGGGACACCTGGGTGGCTCAGTCAGTTAAGCGTCTGCTTTCGGCTCAGGTCACGATCCCAAGGTCCCGGGATGGAGTCCTGCATCAGGCTCCCTGTTCAGCCGGGAGTCTGCTTCTCCCTCTGCCTGCTGCTCCCCCTGCTTGTGCTCTCTCTGACAAATAAAAAAAATCTTAAAAAATAAGCAAACCTAGCTGTCTTGAAATTTCATTTCCAAACTTCTGATAACACAAGAATAAGAAATTTTATTCTCTATCATAAGAAAAAATTGCAATACAAGTAAAATGAGCAAAGGAGGTAGCTAGCACTTGGCTCCAATACGAACAGTGGTTCACACTACAGAAAGCGGAAAAACTTAAAGACCTTTTTTAAGCCTTCTAAATTTACATACGCAATGATTATCTAATTTAGAAAAATAAACTTTTAAAGGGTATACTACTTTCTCCTCTTACACAAAGACAAAATATTCTAAAGAATATGCAAGCTGTAAAGTCTCTGTCCCAAATGCTTAACTCTGTTGGTATAGCCCCAAAGCAGCAAAAGACAGTATATAAACAAACGGGCATACTGTGTTTCAGTAAAACTTATTTCCAAAAACAGGCTACAGACCACATGTACCAATCTCTGCTTCAGACTGCCTCTTGATCAAATATTAAGAGTATGTGATTAAAATGCATAGCTCAAGTTGTTTTTCCTAGAAGAGTATTTACCCTTTAGATCACAAAAACAGGAGAAAAGCACAAGCCTTAAAATGCTTAAAAGCTGAATTAAATGTAATTCTTTTTTTTTTAAGATTTTATTTATTTATTTGACAGAAATCACAAGTAGGCAGAGAGGCAGGGAGAGAGAGAGGGAGAAGCAGGCTCCCCACTGAGCAGAGAGTCCAACATGGTGCTCGATCCCGGGACCCCGAGATCACGACCCAAGCCGAAGGCAGAGGCCCAACCCACTGAGCCACCCAGGTGCCCCAAATTAAATGTAATTCTTTTTTTTTTTTTTTAAAGATTTTATTTATTTGTCAGAGAGAGAGGGAGAGAGAGCGAGCACAGGCAGACAGAATGGCAGGCAGAGGCAGAGGGAGAAGCAGGCTCCCTGCTGAGCAAGGAGCCCGATGCGGGACTCGATCCCAGGACACTGGGATCATGACCTGAGAAGAAGGCAGCTGCTTAACCAACTGAGCCACCCAGCTGTCCCTAAATGTAATTCTTTTTTTTTTTTTTTTTTTAAGATTTTATTTATTTATTTGACAGAGAGAGATCACAAGTAGACAGAGAGGCAGGCAGAGAGAGAGAGAGAGAGGGAAGCAGGCTCCCCGCTGAGCAGAGAGCCCGATGCGGGACTCGATCCCAGGACCCTGAGATCATGACCTGAGCCGAAGGCAGTGGCTTAACCCACTGAGCCACCCAGGCGCCCCCCTAAATGTAATTCTTAATGTAACCTGTATATATTCCACTTTCACCTAAAATATTTTAAGAACTGTTACCTAATCACACAACTAACTGCTTTCTCCACCTACTGCAGGTTCAGTGGATTTCTGAAACACTTTCTCTTTTATGTACTGTGAGTACCCTTTATTGAGGTTAAAAACATAAAGGACATTCCTCTACAAGATAATCTGTTGAAAAAAATAAAGAAAAAACAATGAGAAAAAATATTATAGAATCAGAACCACAACCTATTTTCTATTTTATCAACTACAATAATAACTGCATACATTTGAGAACCACACGATGTGTCCGAGACAATTTTTGTGTCAAGAGATATGCTTTAAAATCCTGTATTTTAAAGCTGGTCATTAGAGTATCAGAACATATTCCACAATGAAAAATGCTGACCAGAGTAAGAATTAAATGGGGGTTGTACAAACATAATATAATGAAATTCAGAATCTAATAAAGTGCAATGAACTTTTATATAAAAATTATGGGTATTATAACTTCTTTTTCTAAGTTATGGGCTCAATTCAATGGCTTTTACTGATCTGGTTGATGGCAGAGAATAACAGCACTGAATAAAGTCAGAATGCCACACACAGGACGAGATCCCTTCTTCTATTCTCCACCCACTGACTTCCTGCAAAACATTAGAGGACAAAGTCCACCTGATTTTTAAATCTGAGGGCTACCTATAGAAGTAGGAAATTTTATAAACTCTGACTGAAAGAAAAACGAAAAAGAAAAAATTGGGGTTCTAATACTTTTTTTCTCTATTGAGTGAATTCTACCACATAAAACAGCTTTGAAACAAACACAGCTATTAGGTGATCAGGATTAAATCAGTCAACAATCCAGATTAACATACACAATTCTATTTAAAAATCTGAAAAACACCTCTTATGGGAACTTATTCCAACAGGTTTTCCTCAAATAATCAATGTGACTGTAAAATAACAGTATTACAAAAAAGATGCTTAAGTCCACAGGCTTCAAAAGTCAAAATATACCCAAAACTGTATTTACAAAGAAAATCTACACAAAGTAAATACTGCTAATCACAATTAAAGAATAGTAACAATAAGCTATGTATTTTACAGATTCTGAACATTGTTATTAAAGGAGCAGAAACCAAGATTAACTGGAGAAAGGCATGAAAAAGTTGAAATTTTAAAAAATAACTCCAAACACAAAGATTTCAGAGGTTGATGGCAGTGGATTTTATTGGGGGTGAGGGGTGTCTAATTTCACTTTGACACCTAGTTTTTTATCCCACAGGTGTGTCATTTGTAGTACCCTCCCACTGAGCAGCCACAGAAACACAAACAGAAGGAAAGCAAGCTTTTCCAATGTTAACCAGGCAAAACCTGGAAGATCAAGGAAAGAATAAAGTATTAAATAACTGCTGAATGTAAAAATGAGATTAATTTGCCATCAACTGAGCTGTGTATGTTAAATGAAATAAAAAGAGGAGAAGGAGGTTGCCAAGGACTGCAAAGAAATTCTACAAAGGATGAAGTAACAACATCGAGGAAGGGCAGCGGACTGTAGGTCATCATCCGGACGAAGTGCTTCCCAACTGCACGTTATTAACTGAGATGCTGCTGCATCTTTCAGTGCCACAATCGCCAACACAGAAGATAGAGAACTTTTCTTGGGAAGGATCCAAGGCATTCTGAATGTCAAGTTATTGCCAAAAAATTAAGAGCGTGAGCTGTGGAGTCGTGAAAGCCCAATTCTTCAACTTACTAGTTGTGTAACCTTTTGTAAATTAGTTCCTTTCTGTGCCACAGTATGGTAATCAGTGAAATGGAAGATAAAAATGGAACTCTTCTCAATGAGTTGATTAAATGAATTTCATAAAGATCTTAGGACCAGTGCCTGACACATTACACTACTACATAAACATCTACAGTTGCACTTACTAATGCACTCACTGGCTAGGCTTTTTGTGGCACTTTCCCAACTCCTGAATCTCCACACCTGTACCGGGTCCAGGCGTCCCAGTTAAAAGGTCTCAGCACTCAAACACAGTTCTCTTTTTACCCTGGATGAAAGGGATCTTAGACATTCAAAGATTTAGGGAGTATTTTGATGGTACAAATCATGAAACTGGCTCAACAAAGGCTAATCTTCAAAGGGCTGATGCCAGTGCAAAAACAAAACAAAACAAAACAAACTAAACAAACTAAAACAAAACAAACAGAAAGCACCAGTGACAAAGTAAAACACTGTTCGTATTAACGAAGTGATAGGTTTCTCCATAAGGTGGACAAAATATTGGTGCCAGCAAGTTTACTTTCAAATTATCAAAACCACCCTGACAGCTGAGAATGTCTGGAAAAGTACTCTGTCTTTAGAATGATGGTGAACCACTACACAGAATTTTCTGGAGCTGTGACAAACATCTATTAAAAAACAAACACCTTGCCTTTTGAAGAATTTATCAAGTTTGGTGGATGTCAGTATAGCTTCCCCTACTCTAACCAAGTATCACACCTCAGGTCTATGTTCTTCATTTCCGACCACAATGAAAACTCTATAGGGCTCCATCAAGTAAATTCAGATCAGAAGTATAAGCTTCTGTACTACATTATGATCAGTAAGTTATTTCACTTCAAAAATATTATACAAGACCATAAAGGAGATGGTATAAAAATATTATACAAGACCCGTGACAGAATAATCCTATGATTATAGTATGTCCTTTTATTTTGGATATTGCTTTTCGTTCTTTCTTCAGCTCTGCAATGACTTAAGAAAACTAGAGAAATGTAGACCAAAGCAAAACTGACCTTAACGTTCTCACTGGGATTTCATTTTCCACCAAGTCAATTATTTTTTTCAATCACAACAGCAGAAGAAAATATTTCCCAGATATTCAAACATACTGGTGTAGTCATTAAGGGTACAGTCAGTTAACAATGATTATGACTACTAAAGTTTCTCAGTTTCTTCCGAAGGGGGGGAAAAAAAAAGTAAACTGAGGAATATTTAGAATCCTTTGCCTACCATGGAAGCTACTACATGTCACCACTTGTCAGAGGTATGGAAGTAGAGCAAAGAAAGCCAAGAATTTTAAAAGCTTCTCTCATTAAATTACATTTTCTCCAAATCCACAACAATCCCTTCTTCTCACACTGAGGAAATCTAGGTACTGCAAATTCCTGGCAAGGGAATCAGGTGTAATCTTCAAATATTTAAAAAATTACTTGTAATCAACCTGTCATTTCATTTTTTTTTTTTTTTTAGATTTTATTTATTTATTTGAGAAAGAGAATGAGAGACAGAGCATGGGGAGGGAAGATCAGAGAGAGAAGCAGACTCCCCACTGAGCAGGGAGCCCCATAGGAGAACTGGATTCCAGGACTCCAGGATCATGACCTGAGGGAAGGCAGTCGCTTAACCAAATGAGCCAGCCAGGTGACCTCAACCTGTCATTTCTAATACTCAAATACTACCTGTTCTATTCAAACTCCACAAAACTGAAAACGTTAAGACTGAGATATAATGAAGTTCGACATTTTCATTCATGTGTTTTATGACTGTAGGACAAATCCTTTTTCCCCAATCTTAGGAAGCTAGGCAATAAGAAAAACAACTCGTCTAAATAAATGTGTAAAATCTTTTGGCTTTTCAGATTACGTTCAAACTTCTAGGAATTCACTGTTCAATGTTTGATTCTTATGGAATAGCTCATTATTTCCATTAACTAGGAGAAAGAAAATCTACAGAATTGTGTGGGCTTAGGAACTATTACACAGCTATTCCCACCCTCCTCCTCATAGGCCCCATGAATAAAGTTAACAGACTTTACACTTCCTATAACAGCAAACAAAAAGGGGAGAAGAGTTACAACACCTTGAACTCTTCCTACAAAACTCCGTGTAGAGGAAACAGCACTACGTGGAAAGTGAGGACTATAAGGGATGCTCAACAGAAATGTCATAGTACTATACAGTCTACCCACAGACTTGAGGATTTCAGTACCCAAACTAAAGGGGTTTCAATTAGCACTTAGACCAACGAAAGGTGAAAGTGAAGAAGTAAGCTTAACATTAGTTAGCTGCCAGATGAAAAGAACAGCAAAATTTCACATTTCAAGACAAGAAAACAAAAGACTGGTTTGACTTCTCAATTTACTTTATGTCAGGGGAAAAGAAAATCCTTCTGGAAAAAAAAAAAAAAGTTACCAAAGGCTAACTAAAATAAGTCACAATCGCAAGAGATTTGAAGTCCATTATTACCCAAATTCAGGCAAAAACTCACAATTCAGAGGGAAGGAGAAAAAAAAATTCCACCCTATTAGCTGCCTCAACAGAAGAAAACACAATTTTGGTCACACCACATTGCTGATAAGGTTTTGTTTCTGAATGCCTGAATGCTCAGTGAGCCAGACGTACAGATTCATGTATAAACAACACGTGACCAGCCTTGTACCCTACATTTTTATAAGGCTGAGTGATATAGAAGATAAGCACTATATACGAACATGCCCTTTTAAAGTTCATTTTACATTTTGGGTTTTCCATTTTTACGTGAAGAGACCAGAGGTAACGGACAATCTAAGGGTCTGTAGCCCATAAAGTGTGTATTCATTCCTCTCCCTTTGAGGTCGCTGTAAAACAAGACCTACGATAGCTAAACTGCGGGGGGGACGGAGGGGGCGAGGGAGGGGAAGACATTAACTCAGAATAACTGCTTCAAGTCAAACCAAGGGATATTCTTATACTTAATGGTTTGTCAATTCATGGGGAGAGGGAGGTGGTCGAGTTCAAATAAGTTAACGATTTCACAGTCTGAAGTAAACACGTACACAATTTTGTTTCAAAGGGCAGCTTCTGCTTTTTAAAAATCGTTAGATCCTAATGGGCTCTCCGTCAATCTACACATCTCTTGCTTACTTCAGATGCACCGGTAAAGAAAAAAAAAAAAAAATGTAAGGAAGGGCTTGCCCTTCCCCGGCCCACCATCTCGCAGGGAAACAGCTTTATTTTGGCAAGGGCGGGCGCCAACCCGGGCCAGGGCGCCGCCCGGGGGCCCGGGACCGGAAACGCCCCCGCGAGCGGCGCACCCCGCCGCCCCAGCCCCACACACCCGCCCGGCGCCGGGCTGCGGAGGGGCCGCCGCAGGGTGCGGAGGGCGGCGCCGGCTGCCCGCGCCCCTCCCCCGCCCGCGGCGGAAACGTCTCGGATTTGAAAGATGCCGCCACCGCCCCCTGCCCCCCCCCCCGCCCACGGAGCCACAAAGGGCCGAGCCCCCTCCCACCGCTGCCCTCCTTCCCCAATTCCTCCACAGGTCTTCGCGGGCTCTCCCCGCTCGCCCCTCCCGCTCGCCCGGCGCTGGCGACGCCTGCTCACCCGTGTCCCCAGGTCCGGAAGATTGGGATCCGGTGCGGCCGGCGACCCCGAAAACACTGGGCCCCTCGGGCGCGGCGGCGGGGGCGTGGCCCTCCCGCCCAGGCCAGGGCCGGGGTCTCGCCTCCGCCTCCCCCGAGGAAGCCTGACGCCGCCGCCTCGTCTTCCTTCCGGCTTCCCCTCGCGCCCTCCCTCTGTCGGCCCGTCCTGAGCGGAAAGCAGCGTCCTCTGCGGGCGCCGCCGCACGCTCCTCAGGGCCCGACCACAGCCAGACTCCTCCCCCGGGAGCCGCCGGGCCGCGAGACGCCCGGCTCGCCGCTCCCGCCCCGCCCCTGCGGCGCGCGCTCGCCCCCTTCGCGGGCCCCTTCCGTGGCCCGGGAACGCGCGGCCAGCGGACCGTGAGCCAGCCTTCGCCAGGTTTCAATTCCCGCCGCTCGCGCCCGCCCAGCGGCACATGCGGCAGTTTTGCAGTTTCCCGGGTTCTTGAGGATCCCCCTCCCTGTTCTCCCGCCCTTACCCTAGCTTCCCCCGCCCTTTTCCTTTGCTGGATCCCACCGGAAAGCCAAAACAATTGGGTCCGCGCAAGCGCGAAAAAGGAAGCGGAAAAGGGAGGAAGGGAGGGGGCGGTGCGAGGTGACGCGGAGGCGCTTTTGGAGGGGTTTCCCGAAGAAGGTCAGCCGATAGTCCGCTGAGGGCGCGTGCGCGGCGTGGTGGTCGCCCCCGAGACCGGCGGCCCTGGGACGCCGGAGGGTTTAGGCTTGGTCTGCCACAGGGAGAGGCCCGAGAAATTCGGTGCTAGGAAACCCAGACACCAAAGCACGAAATTTTATGCCATAGGCTGTTTCCCCCCCTTTGAAATACAGAAATGTTCAGGTTGGGTCAGGAATAGGGGAAGAGGAAGACTAGACGTCAGACCACGGGAAGAAGAGAGACATTGGGAGACTGACTGAATGGGCTTTGTCTCCTCAGTCCCTGCTCTCCAAAATGCGCCTTCCACTTTCAGAGCAGGGTCGGCTTTCCCGATCTCATCTAGAAAGGCTTCTGTCCAGGTCTTTCAAGGCCAAGGAAAACCTCACAGCAGCACCTGAAAGGGCCCGCGGTTCAGTGGAGGAAACCGTTGTCAGGGTGAGGAGGGAAGCAGCTGTATATGAATCCCTCGGATAGGTTTGTGCTGCAATGCGGTGGCTACCTGCTCCCCCCACCCCACCCCACCCCACCCCAGCAAGTTCCAAAGGAGCGCCTTCAGCTTCACAAGCTTAAGCCTTTGTAGCAGCAGATGGCTGTGGCCCACGCTGGTTTGGTTAACTTGGTACAGCTTGCTAGCAAGCAGAAAGTTGTAGATTTGCTCTCTCATTTGATGAAGTTATCATGGATGCAAAATTGTCAGGAATGCCCACACAGACCTCACCTACCTTTGTAATTTACACTCTCGGCACAAACCCAATCTGGAATATGTACATGACTAATTATAAACTAAAAGCCTTTAGTTACCAAAGAGCCTCTTCCTGTAGGGTAGGTTAGATCAACTGAATGTACGCCGAGATGTGTGTATTTGGGAATACTGGTAAAGGATTTTACAGAAGAGTTTAGAAAATAGGTTCATTCAACAATATTGAGTGCCAGGTATGGTATCATTCTGCTTAGTCTGGTTAAATGCTTAAGTGGTTTGATATTAAACAGCAGAGAAGCTATATAAAAGATTCAGTCATTTAACACATTTGAGCACCTACTCTGTGCCAGATTGGACCCTGGAGATGCAAAGTCTGAACAAGAAGGCACAAACCACAAATGATACCTTTGGTAAGAGTTTGTGTTGTGGCGCCTGCATGGTGCAGTGGGTTAACTGACCAACTGTTGGTTGGGCTCAGGTCATGATATCAGGGTCATGAGATGTAGCCCACATTGGGCTCCATGCTGACCCTGGAGTTAGCTTGAGATTCTTTCTCCCTCTCCCTTTATCCCTCCGGCTTGTGCTCTCTCTGACATAAATAAATAAAATATTTTTTTAAAAAATAAATAAATAGGGGCACCTGGGTGGCTCAGTCGTTAAGCGTCTGCCTTCAGCTCAGGTCATGATTGCAGGTGGGTTTGAGCCCTTCATCAGGTTCCCTGTTCAGCAGGGAGCCTACTTCTCCCTCTGTCACTCCCCCTGCTTGTATTCCCTCTCTCGCTCTTTCTCTGTCAAATAAATAAATAAGTAAATGTTAGAAAATAAAATAAATAAAATCTTTAAAAAAGAAGAAAAGAATGTGCTATGGTGAGTGCTGTGAAGTATATAAGCCTGACGATTCACAGACCTGTACCCCTGGGGCTAATAATACATTATATGTTTTGTTTTGTTTTGTTGAAGATTTTCTTTTATTTAACAGACAGAGATCCCAAGTAGGCAGAGGCAGGCAGAGAGAGAGGAAGGGAAGCAGGCTCTCTGCTAAGCAGAGAGCCCAATAAGGCGGGGCTCGATTCCAGAACCCTGAGATCATGACCTCAGCCGAAGGCTGAGGCTTTAACCCATTGAGCCACCCAGGCACCCCCAATACATTATATGTTAATTTAAAAATAAATAAATAATAAAAAAGAAAAGAGTTTGTGTTTCATCCTGTAGACAAAAGAGCAATTTATGATTTTTAAGCAGAATATCTTGATAAAATTTTAGAAAAATCATTCTGAAGCGTGATGGGTAATCAGACTGGAAGTAGGGAAACTAGTTAGGAAGCTGTTAATAGCCCAGACAGAAGATGGAGAGAGTGTCCAAACTCAGTGGCAGTGAGAATAGTGAAGCAGAGATGGATTTGAAACTAGCTAGATGGGGCCCCTGGGTGGCCAGGGTTAAGCATCAGTCAGTTAAGCATCTGCCTTTAGCTCAGGTCACCATACCAGGGTCCTGGGATTGAGCCCCAAGTCCATCCCCCTGCTCAGCAGGGACTCTGCTTCTCTCTCTCCCTCTGCCCCTCCACCCCGCTGTGCACGTTCTCTCTCTCTCTCTCTCTCTCAGATAAATAAAATCTTAAGAAGAAGAAGAAGAAGAAGAAGAAACTAGCTAAATAAAATAAGCAAGACTTGGTTAATAAGAGGATAAGGGAAAATAAGAAGTGAGGTGTGGCTGAGTTTTCTAGTTGGGGTGATTAGACAGTTATATCAGTCACTACAGAAGTGTAGCTAATTGTGAGGATGAAAGAGAAGACTAAAAAGGTGCCATTTTAATAGCTGTACAGTTAGGGATGTATTTGACTGCAAATAAAAAATTTCATCGCATTAACTACTTAAGTAAGAAACTATTTGGTCACATAAGTCTATACATAGTCAGCTACCCTGGTTTCAACAGCTCAAAAACAGCAGAGCCATAATTTCTGTGATTTTTTTTTATATTTCTCATGGTTGCAGGATGGCCACAGCAGTTTTAGCCTTCATACTTTACTTAAGACAGGAAGATAGGGAAAGGAGTGGCCTAACCCATCTATGCTTATTTTTATTTTTTCAAAAAGTAGAAGCCTTCTCAAGACAGCACCTCATATCCCAACTCAGCAGACTTCCATATGCATCTCAATGTCTAGAACCATAATTTGGCCAAATGCAGCTATGAAGACCTAAGTTTTTCCAAGCTCTAATTCAAAGTTGTAAGACAGAAAAGCATTGGGAATGGATGCTGGATCAGACAAATAGCAGTCTGCGAGTTCATTAATACTTGAAGCATCAGTTTTAACATTTTTAAAAAGATTTTATTTATTTATTTGACAGACAGAGATCACAAGTACACAGAGAGGCAGGCAGAGAGAGAGGAGGAAGCAGGCTCCCCACTGAGCAGAGAGCCCGATGCAGGGCTCGATCCCAGGATCCTGGGATCATGACCCAAGCTGAAGGCAGAGGCTTTAACCCCCTGAGCCACCCAGGTGCCCCCAGTTTTAACATTTAAAACACTGAGAGCTGGGGCCCCTGGCTGACTCAATTGGTAGAGCATGTGACTCTTGATCTCAGGGTCATGAATTCAAGCCCCATGTTGGGCATGGAGCCTACTTAATAAATAAATAAAATTATTTAAAACAAACAAACACTGAGAGCTAGCAGGCTGAATTAAGGCTAGAAGTCCAGTCTTTTGGTTGTCTTAACTAGAAAAGGAACAGGTTGAACATTTTATCCTTAAATATTTCTATTTGTTTGCTATTTTTCCTTCAAGGTTGCTACCCCCTTAAAAAGCCTCAGAGGAGGGGCGCCTGGGTGGCTCAGTGGGTTAAGCCACTGCCTTCGGCTCAGGTCATGATCTCAGGTCCGTGGGATCGAGTCCCGCATCGGGCTCTCTGTTCGGCGGGGAGCCTGCTTCCCTCTCTCTCTCTCTCTCTCTCTGCCTGCCTCTCCGTCTACTTGTGATCTCTTTCTGTCAAATAAATAAATAAAATCTTTAAAAAAAAAAAAAAGCCTCAGAGGAGATTTGAGCAAGAAGAAGAGACAGCGGCACCTGGGTGGCTCAGTCAGTTAGGTCTCCAACTCTTGATTTCTGCTCAAGTCATGATCTCAGGGTCATAAGAAGAGTCCCACAGTGGGCTCCACATTCAGCAGGGAGTCTGCTTGAGATTCTCTCTCCCTCTCCCTTCCACCCCCCACTCTCTCGCACACTCTAAAATATATAAATAAATCTTTAAAAAGGGCTGGGGGGGGCTTGCTGCAGTCAGAGAACACGGACTGCTTGTTTAGTTTTCTGTCTATAGCTGTTATTATAGAACAATTATAATGTGCTTGGCATTATTAGCATCAACACCATCTTCATTTTTTTTTTTTTTTTTCACAGATCTTGCCCCTCAGTTTGGAAGCTGAACAATCACAACTAGTTAACAGTGTCTACTTTAGGGAGATCATAAATAGTATTTTCTAGCGATTACATTAACTTTTCTGCAATGTACAGCAGCTCCCCCGTGATCTATATCCAAAACTAGGCATATGACATTGCTTCAAGCTCTCCTTTTTAGTTAACAAGGCATTTTCTTTTAATTAAATGCCAAAAACCATGAAACAGTATCTTCCTAAGACTGGATTTGAAACATTGTCATGATTCTAGAAAAGAAAACAAATACTTCTTGGAAAAAGAAAAGATGCAACTATAAATTTTCTAAATGTGAGTCTTTTCTGTGCTTAACCATTTCTGAATGTTATAAATCATAATAATTTAAGATAATAAAATAATCTAAAACATTATTGTTAATTTTAACATTCTAACCTATTTAAAAATCTTGGATTTGGGGGAGGAAGTTCTCAGGGCCATCTCTGAAGGGGACAGTGCATTCCAGAGCTATTATGCAATATATCCTCTCCCTCTTGCTTCCCTGTAATAATACAGAGAAAAATAGTTAAAATGGACATCATTATTATGGGGTAGAACAAGGGAGTTCTCTATGGTAACAGAACAGTGCAAT